TTGAGACTGCATTTTTATTTCCCCTCCCCCTGAAATATATTCAAAGTCAAACTAAAAAACAACAACAACCCTCTTAAAGAGGAAGAGCTGATAAAATGAGAAGTGTTTGATCAACTAGATCTTAATTTTTTAAATTACTTATTTAAAACATTTAAAACATTTATTAGCTGCCTTTCTGCCTTATAAGAACTCAAGGCAGCTTACAATGCAAATAATAATAAAATATAATGTAATGCATTAAAACACTAGTTAAAATCAATAATTTAAAACTGCTGGTAGACAGAAGAACTAATCAAATGCCACCATTAATAAAACTGTATTCAGCTGCCTCTGAAAGACTGAGTATTTGAAGGCCAGGTGCATCTCTCTGGGGAGGGTGTTCTATAATCATGGGGCTGCCGTTGAGAAAGCCCCCTCTCGTGTACCCATCACCAGATGAGCCTCTTTGGTGAATGGGACAATCAAGAAGCTCCCTCCCTGTGATCTTAGTTCCTAAGAAGAAATATATGGGAGAAGATGATCCTTCAGATATCCTGATCCCATGCCATGTAGGGCTTTAAAGGTCAAAGCCAACACCTTGAATGGGGCTCAGGAGAGGATCAGAAGCCTACTTGCTGTAGGATTGGGGATCATATGTTGCCAGTAACTGGCCCCGACCAGCAGGCTAGCTGCAGCCTCCTGCACTAGCTGCTGCCTCCAAAAAGTCTTTAAAACCCCAAGTAGAGTGCATTGCAATAGTCAAAGTCTTGATGTAACTAAGACATGGATTACTGTGGCTAGATCTCAGCCAGGAACTGGTATAGCTGGAGAACCAGCCCAAGATTGTCAGAAACATTCCAAACCACAGCAGCTTAGTGGCCACTGTGTTGAACAGCACTCCCAAGCTGTGAACCTGGCTTTGCAAGGGGAGTGTAAGTAATCCCATCCAAGACAGTGGAGATCTCAAGTCCCCAGTCTGCCTTTCTACTAACTCAGAGCAGCTCTGTCTTACCACAATTAAGTTTCAGCTTGTTAACCCCTATTACTCACTTCAAGCACTGGTTCAGATGATCAACAGAATCCCTGAAATTAGGTGGAAAGGGTAGAGCTGGATATCATCCACATATTGGTGATATCATAGCCCCAAATGCCTGATGACCTCTCCCAAAGGCTTCATATAGATATTAAATAGCATGGGGGATGATGAGATCAAACCCTGTGTAACCCCATGGCCTGTCCCAGAAGTCACCCACTTGAGCACAATTCCTCACTTTTGTCCATTCAGCCTAGCACTGTAAACTGTTATTAGTTATGAAGAGCAAAATAATTTGTTTTTTCTTCTGCTCCCAATCAGTATGATTCTTAGTTGCCTTCATGGTAGTGTTTTGCATTAAATCCATATATGGATGAGGAGCCACAGTTCTGAAAACTTATTTAAACTTTGGATGTGACAGTCGGAAAAAAAAATGGATAAAATGGGTCAGTGATTACAATCTCCCTTATAAATAAAAGCCAAATGGTGGTGGCACTTCTCTAGAATATTCCACACGCTCCAAAATCAGTTCGCTCTCTGATCTGTCATTCAGAGGGTCTCCCTATCCACTGGCTGCTTTGCCTGAGTCCTGCCTCCAACATTCTAAACATTTTGCTGTTCCTCTCCCCCCTCCACGTAGCCAGTCAGAACACAGAAGTTATTTGCATATGCAGCCTCATTGGCCTTTGTCTCGGAACACAGAGGTCGTTTGCATATGCGATTTGATTGGCTTTTGCCTCTAACATTCTAAACAGTTTGCTGTTCTGAGGTAAAATGTGTCCAATCTCCAGGTGAGGGCTGGAGATCACTCAGAATTACAACTGCTTTCCAGATGGCAGAGATCAGTTCCCCAGGAGAAAATGGTGGGCTCTGTATCCTTGTATACTGCTGAGGTGGCCCCCGTATGACAGCCTATGTGACGTAGCAGTCAGGGCTTCAGAGCACGGGAGAGGCTGCAGGTGTGTGGGGGGTGGAAAGCTGAAGAGTGAGGGGGAAATAAAGGTAGGTTGATGACTGGCTGGGAAGGAGATAGGGTTGCCAACTCCAGGTGGAAAATTCCTGGAGATTTGAAGGATGGAGCCTGGAGAGGGTAAAGTTTCAGGAGACGTGGGACCTTGGACAGGTACAAAGCCATAGACTCCACCCTCCAAACCAACTATTCCCTTCTGGGGAACCATCGTTGCCAATCTCCAGGTGAGGGCTGGAGATCACTCAAAATTACAACTGTTCTTTAGGTAGCAGAGATCAGTTCCTCTGGAGAAAATGGTGGACTCAGTGTCATTATACCCTGCTGAGGTCGCCACAGCAAATTGACACTGAGTGTCCAAGGCCGGGGCACCCACCCAGAGCCTCTTTCTAGAGGCCGTTGTATTTATTTCCACAACGGGCCTTTTTCCTAGTAATGAATAAAAGTACTGAAAATGTTATCAGGAACCAACTTTGACAAAAGTTAACAGGGCAGACTTTCAGTGTGGGTGAGCCAGAAGATTAAGTAAGAAGACAGACATGGAAAATTTTATTTCATTAAAATGCTTGTACAGGGCCTAGAAGCAAGAAAGCTTCAGTAAAGGAAACTGAATGAACTCCCAGTGTCAGAGAGAGAAAGACGCCGTGTGCGAGGCATCACAGTGCAATTTAATTGATCTTTTTTGAGAGGGGAGTCCAACTGCACACTTATGATAGCACTAAATTCCATGAAAAAAACTGGTCACAGTAAAGCAGCAGTAAATGATAAGCACATAAAGGACTTTATATTCAGGACTTGCCTCTGACTCAGATTCCTCATGTGAGGCTGCTCTCCTGTACCGAACTTTGCTTCCATTCCTTGAATCTAGTCCTCCTTCTTTCTCTTCAAGCTTAGCTTTCGTCTTCCCTTTCTTCATAAGGAAATTATCAACTACCCAGAACATTAATGCCTGTTACAAAAGAGAAATTAGTGACATCTGTCATTCATTCTATGAGACAACAGTAAAATTTAAAGGAAGTTTCACATTACTATAGTAAAGTGTAAAGATGGGCATGAACCGAACCACGAAGCAAAATTCGACATGAATTTTGCCGTTTGTGGTTTGTGAATTGAAGTTCGTGATGGGTCTACTGTCACAAACTTCCACAAACCTTGAAAGCAGTTTGAGTCCCTTTAAACTGCTGCTTTCTGTTCCTTGTGAAAGCTGCAAAAACAGCTGAATGGCACTCCCCGCTGCTCAGCTGCTTTTGGGCTGTCTTCTGCAGCCCCTTGAAAGTTTAAAGGGACTGCACAAGACAGCCTAAAACAGCTGAGCTCCCCATCACGCAGCTGTTTTTTGGGCTTTCTGCAAACTCCATTTAAAGGGACTCCATTCCCTTTAAATGGTGTTTGCAGGGCCACAAACCACAAACTGGTTCAGCTCATGAGTGAACCTCCCATTTGTGCCCAAACCTCCTGTAAAGCCTACATAAAGTTATTAGGATTACTAAAAATGTTGCACTTCAGTTACTGAACTCTTCTAAAAATCAAAATTTGGGATGCTTCACATAAGCATAACATCACAAGCAAACAAAGACTAACTAGTAAAAACAGCTCTCAAAATGACTCTTGAACCTAGTGTTACACTCTGGGGTCATGCTAAGATTAAGGCTGGGATCCAATTGAGTTTCTGCAGGCAGAAAAATCCCCCTCCGTGACCATGGCTTTCTCATACCTCTCTCCCAGTGCAGATCAAAATGCCTCCCAAAACAGCCCCGTTCCCCCAAGTGTAGCATTTTAAGGGGCATTTTGGGCTGCAGCAGCAGGAGAAAAAGTGATGCCCTGTGGGAGAACTTCTTCTGCCTACAGAAGTACTCCAGTGGATCCAAGCATAAATGTCTGGTTATAGCTGGTTTAGAATTACTATGTTGCTCTTTCATATGTCTTGTTCAGCAACAGTTAGCAAACCCTTCAAACGTTTTATGCACCGATTTATTCTACAATAACCTCATCTAGTTAGATTATTTATCTCCCCTGCTACTGAACAAGTGACCACCATCATGCTCAGATTTTACTTAATACAGCAACAAAGCACGTCCAGAAAATATGAAAAAATCTCCTACTTTGGCCTTCTGTATATGTTGGAGGGCAATAGTCTCACAGGCGTCAAGACTTCCTTCTAGACTTAACTCAATATTTATTTATTAATTAAAACATTTACATCCCTTCCTTCCTCGTGGTTCAAGACAGCTTACAGTAATAGTTAAAAACATTTTCAGTTTAAAAGGAAAAATAATTAACAATCCTCCCCCAACTCTCCCACCTTACAAAGATAGCTAACAGATGGCTGCCTGATGAATGCTGTTGGTGCAAAGGGACATATAGAAGGAGATGGTCCTTCAGATACACAGGTCCCCAGTCATGAAGGACTTTATAGGTCATAATGAACAAAATCAAGATATTGATTTGATTTTGACCTAGAAAGCCTTGGTCAGCTTTTGCTGTGGCACAAAATTATCTCCCGTGTGTCCAATAGATTTATATTTATAGATCTATGGCAGGGTAATATTGAGACAAGACAACAGTTATGTACTCTACATAGGTTGTCCATTGACGTCAATTCAAGAGACTCAAGTTGGTGCTGAATGCTGCATCTTGGTTATCATCAGGAGCTAGGCAGCACATACATATTACTCCCATTCTGCAGTCACCACATTGGCTGCCTATCAGTTATTGAGCTCAATTCAAGGTTTTGGCTATCACATATATGGCCTTAGTTCCTCATATCTGCAGGACTGCCTCTCGATCTATGCTCTATCACAACAGCATTGCTCATCTGAGCAGAGACATCTGCAGGTGCCACTCTGCAAATGGGCAAAATCAACAACTGCCTATACACATAAATTCTGTGTTGTTGCCCCCACCTTATGGAATGGCCTACCTGATGAAGTCAGGAAGACTCCCACTATTTTGGTTTTCTGTAAACTATGTGAAATGGAACTATTCAGAAAGACTTTTTTACATATGTACTGTAATGAAATGGTTCAGAAAGGTTCTTTGGTAGAGGGATAGGGACTGTGGACTATACTAGTATGTATAGTATGTACTGACTGGCTTGTAGATACAATTCCATTATGTTATTTCTGCATCTTTAACATGTCATGTTAATCCTTATGCTTTGTTTCCGCTCCATTTTAGTTTTTTGCCATCCAAATCCTACTTGTCCCATTCTGTTGACTGCATTCAGTGAAAAAGGCAGATTATAAATAACAAAACTAAATGAATAAAATAATAAACAGCATGAATATTTAAAAAGCATTCATTTATACCAACATTTACAAAGAAGGGGACTATCAGCATGACAATAGCTAGCTCCAACTCAGGGTTCTCTATAGGATTCAACAAAGCTACCTGCAAAAGAAAAAGGAACACATTAAGATCACATAATGACATACACACATTTGTGCTTAATTTATTATTTGCACCATAAGCGGTACTGGTTTAGTAACATGAAGAGTGCATTCACAGAACCAAACAGTGTTTCTCACATTAAAATTGACTATGTGGCATGTGAAGCTCAGACTCTTCTAAAAATCAACTCCCAATTTAACTAGGGATTTAAAAACTAAACTGAACATTAAATATATCTTAAAAATGCCCCATTTCAAACCACAATTATAAAACAACACCAGACGTAATCAACAGATTGATTTTAACATTGCACTGCTGGTTTTCAAAGCCTTGAATGGTGTAACCCCAGATCTGCTCTTTGAATATGATGATAAGACAGACACCAACTATGTTGAAAGTATGTTGGACTACAATCTGGGAGGCCCAGATTTGAATCCATACTCTGACATGAAAGTTTCCAGGGTGATCTTGGCCTAGTCACACTCAGCCTAACCTACCTCAAAGTGTTGTTGTGAGAATAAAATCGGGGAGAAGAGAACAATGAAAGCCTAGCTGGGTTCTCACTGGGCTGCCCTGAGCCTGCCTTGGCAGGGAGGGCGGGGTATAAATCAAATAAATAAATAAATAAATAAAGGTATAAATAATGTAAAAAAAAACTTTGCAGGTAACTTACATTGTAAACTGACCTCAATAACGATGAGGCCAGAAAATGAAAGTAGAAAAGGAGAGGTTGCTTACTTGTGACTGAGGGGAAGTCTCCAGGTGGGAAGGGAATACACATTGGGGGACAGATTGGGTTCGATCCGTGACATGTGGATTTGTGGCCAAATATATTTAATTATACTGTATGGACTTGTTGACTTATTGGTGAGGAATGCAAATGTGGGTATAGTTCTTTCCTTGGCAGAATGCTAATATAGCAGCAGCCTTTTGCCACTACACAGACACTGATTAATAGCCAAGAGGCCTTAACTAATTGTCTAACAGCCAGATACTGGGCAGGCCTCAGCTTCTCTTTGGAATGACTGTTTTCCTAAACAAGAATGAGAACATTAGGTACAGTCCTGCCAGCTGACTCACCCGTCTTTGTTGTAGTAATGGGCTAATACTTGATTACTGGCCCATGCAAATACAATAAGAAGAAAAGCTGATCCTATCACTAGATGGGGGGGGGGGAGAGAAAAAACACAAGATAAACCAAACTGGAGCCTGATGGTAATGTATGGTAATTGCAGGCAGCACAGCCAATGTTTTGGAAAGTGCAGGTAGCACAGCATGAGATCTGATAGTGGTTATAGGAGGCCCCGTCTCTTGGAACCATATACTATCAAAGAGTCTTTGTCCCTACTGTGACACGTCCAGACCTATACAAGTTCTCATTCCCATAGCAGCCTTACCACTTGCTATCCCACAGTGGAGATAAGCACCAATGAGGCAAGACTCTTTGGGAATCCTGAAATCCCACAGAGTGAATGAAAGATTGGTGGGACTGAGAAAAGCATAGTATTCTCTATTTCACCCTTTAAGGATGAGTGGATGTAAAAGGAAACAGTGCAATGAGGCAAAGGAAAATGGAGAAAGGATATAACTTCTCCAGAATAGGCTCAATATTAAAATAACTCAGATTAGGAACAAGGACTGTAACATCTCTTGTTGAAGCCTTAGTTAAAGGAATAGAAGCAGCTGGAATTACAGGATGGTGAAGTTACAGACATGCAGCCTGGAATTAATAATGGACTTCCTGAGGCCAGCAATGGCGACCAGAGATGTTTACCGGACCAGAGCATGCAAGGACATAAGCAAGGACTATGCCCAGCATAGTTATGATTCACTTGCTGATCTAACTGTTGGCCACTGTTCTAAGGGATGCTGTAAAAGACCCTATCCACTTTTGAGATATCTTTATAATTTAAGTTGGCAAGGTTTTCAGTGTAAAGCATTTCCTTTGGCATTCTTTCCCTGCTATTTTTAGAAGTGCAACCATTATCAATCTATACATTAACACACATGTGCTGCTAGGATAAATCAAAACTCATGGAGCTGTATGTCAAGTTTGCCTGTTGTTAAGATGCTTTAACAAGACCACAGTAATGTCTTGCAGATTTCATATTTTAAATGGTAGCAGAGTATTAAATTATAGCTTGAAGAACTAAAATGAAAACTTTGCCACAGGAAGATTTGAAATCTCTTTATGTCAACTAGGTGTGTGCATTCAGTAAATCTGAAATGAAAAAACCCGTTTCTGGTTTCGGTGACTTGCGAACGAACACACTCCATTGAGCTCCGATGGGTGCGATTTCAGTCGGTGACTTGCGAACGAACACACTCCATTGAGCTCTGATGGGTGCGATTTCGGATTGAGGCGGGAGGGAGGGGGATCGGATGCTTTCGATCTCCCTCTGAAACTCTTGTAGGGAGCTTCTAGCCTGGAGTGCTGAAGGAGCTGCTCCCAAAGCTGCGGCATGGGCATCAAGGCTCTTTTTAGCTCCTTAAGGTCCCGCTGCCCCGAGGCCAGCAATGGCGACCAGAGATGTTTACCGGACCAGAGCGTGTAAGGACCTAAGCAAGGACCCTATGGGAAGACACCCAGTGATAAAAAAGGGAGTGAAGAAGTTTCAAAAGAAAGACAAACACAAAGAGGGTGGAGGAACTGACAGTGAGACGGCAAAGCTCCATAGAGAAAGGGGGGGGGAACTCTCGGGAGGAAGAACCCTACCCTACAGCGTAAAAAGCAGCAAAACGGAAAGCAAGCCGATATTAAGCTGTTAGAAACCCACCCAGCCCAATCAGAATGCAATGGGACCTGATATTCATTGCACAGAAAAATCTTAGAACTTTTAAGAACTTTTACCTTAATGTAAACAATGTCGCAGCGAGGGGGGGAAATGGTGCCCAGAGGTCAAGGCACCACAGGAAATGCCAGCACAGCATCACCGGTCACAAGACCGGAAATTACTACTGATAAAGCTGGTATGATTTCTGAAGCCTTGCACTCCCTGCTGGACCAGGCTGACGAATCTCAACAAGAAATTTGATGATTTGCAGAAGGAGCTGAAGGAGACTAAAGTTAAATCAGAGAAGATGGACCAAAAGCTAAAAAAGGTTGAAACTAAGACCAAAGAAATGGATCAAAGAATGGACATTGCAGATAAAGAAAGAACTTCTGAAAAACAACAATTACTACAATTACAAGTGGAAAGATCTCTATATGTTTTAAGATTCCAAGGGGTTCTGGAAAAAAAAAGATGAAAATTTAAGAGAAATCTTGTGAAGCATTGGCCCCCTTGACCAACAGCAAACCGGAAATATTGCAAACGGATATAGACATGATTTATAGAACCTACTCAGAGTTTGTGAGAAAAAATAATCTTCCAGGGGAAATATTTGTTAAATTCGGAAAAAGATCAACAAGAGACTTGATACTTAAAGCTTCTACTGCCACAACATTAAAAATTCAAGAGGAAGAGATAAAAATACTGAAAGATGTTCCATTTTAAATACATAAGAAGAGGAAGCAATACAGAAATATTACAACATTTCTACAAAAAAACAATGTCCAATACCGATGGATTTTACCAGAGGGTCTTATATTCAACTACAAAGAGAAGAAGGAAAAGATTGAAACTCTCTCTAAAGCAGAATCATTCCTGAAGCAGCATTAAACTCCAACAAAACAAAGAAAGGAAGCAAAGGAAGAGAAGGTGACAGAAAAAAACAGCAACCATCAGCCACTGACAGCTCCTCTTCTACTTCAGTGTCCCTGGGTGAAATCTTTGACTCTGACTTGGATTCTGACATGGGAGATGCTGCCCCCAGATCTTATAAGGTTAAAATCCCCTGGCAGAAGAAGAAGCGCAAAGACAAGAAGTCATCCAAATGAAGATCTGAGATTTTCTATGTTAAAATTTAAAGAATTTATATTATTGTCCATATGTGATACAATAACCAAGAAAAATTTGTTCTTTCTATTTGAATACTTTTTATTTAGAAATTAAATGATATATTGTAAACATAAATTTGTA